AATAATTTGTATAATAAAGAAAATTAAGTTTTAATTACTAAAGGGTCTTCAATAACTATTATATACGTAGCATAATATTAATATGTATCTAATACTTAAAAACTCTGCTTCATATTCTTTGACATTCATTGTAAGATTTTAGCACAATTATCACTTTTATTAAGTTAATATGTGACAACGTTGCTTATATTTTTTATTATCTAGGTATCTGAATCAATTATTAAAGATATATTCAGTCTTATTGGCAATATCGCGCTTCCTTCCGTTATAAACAGAATATTTGTTTGATTTTTTCTCTTTTTTTACTGGTTAAAATAACACTAACTTCCCGCTTCCAAGTGTTATTAAGGATTTGAACAAGATAAACATTAATATATGTTACAATTTCAGATGTGCAACCGTATTGCTAATGCGTAACCTAATGTTTATGTGAGAAAATAGATTGCGATACTTTGCTTGCAATAGCTGAAGAATAATATTTAAGGATCATTTATAGTTCATAGTTTCTACAAATTAGCTGAAGTTAAGCAGCTAAATTTGTCCATACTTTATCTCGGCTGTTACGATTATTTTTTTTAATAAGTACTTTCAAATGAATAGATAAGAATTAAGTTGTAAATTCATATAAGCGAGTAAAACATTTTTTAATCAAAATCTTTTTCTTTTATTTTCGCACAATTTCTTTTAATTTTATCGGAGATTCTCAAATATGTAACTTAAATATCTTAGAATTCTGGAAAATTATTATAAATGAAAAAATTAAATAAAACATTAAACTTAATTTTAAATAATTTCATATTTCATTCTTTTGCCTTTTTTACATATCAAGATTATTTTTTATATAAATTTAATGTCAATAGAATATAGACAATTTAATATTGTGATATATATTATAGTGAAACAAAATTTTAGGAGAAAAATACGAAAAGATGGCTAAGCTTTACAAAAATTAAAATTATATTGATCTCATACATTTTTTAAAAACACATTGTTATTTGATTTTTTTATTATATTTTTATATCAAATTGTAGTTATATTTAATAAAATTATTAAAAAATCAAATTATTCGGAGGTTAATAATATAATTATAAAATATATAACTGGTTAGTATTATTAAATGAGGGTGTCTTATTATATTTTTTATATAAAATTAGCTATGGGATATCGTACTTATTATGTCGAAAAACAGTTAAAAAATATATTAAAATGAGAATAAATTTTTTTAATTTAAATTACAAAGCATGCATAAAAAAGTAGTTTTGGTTATTGAATTTGAATACTATTCTATCTAGTTCATGAAACTCAATTTGTTAACTTCATTCAATAGTGCTGAGTATTTGTATCGATTGGTAGTTTCAAGTTAATTTAATGTACATTTTTTAATATTGTATTTGTTTACAATTTTATAAACATTTTGTTTTTATAATACGATTATTTTTAATATTTTTATGTACATTTAGATATATTAACCATTGAAATTTTTAAAATTATTAAATCTTTTGTAATGAAATACATTTATTCTTTTTTCTGTGCCTTCTATATACAATTACTATCTATCTATCTCTTCCACTTGAATACGTTTTTTTAAAACATTTATTTATTTTGTCGAAATGTACCAAATCAATAATAATCATAAATGTATAAATATAACTAATTAACCTCGTCGATTATAACTTATTATTTTTACGAAACCTTGTTCAAAGATAAGATGTTCCGCTCAAACAATACAGAGTTAAAATAGTATAGATAATTCTAAAAATCTAGTTTTTTATAAATTAAGGTAAGAATACATTTAATTACATAATAATTTTTCTGAATTTTTAACATTTCATTAATTTTATTGTAGTATATAGATTTTTTTAATACTCTGATTAATGTAAGAAATGTTTTGAACTATCAAAACGTTTGGCCTTGCTCCTAGTTTTCTAAGCCGAAAAAACAAATCTGAATATCTTAATTTATAATTCAAATAACTTCATTCCGATTTCTAATTCGAATGTTCTTTCTTTTTTATTCTGGTAATAAATTTGCATTACTATATTCTTCTCTCACTTTTCGAATTTTTTTAATTCTATTTTACTGCTAAATATTTTGTTCAAGTTTTAAAATTTTACATTAATTAAAAATTTAATTTAATAGAAATTTTTATGTAATACAAATTACCAATTAAAGATATTATTATAATATTCGTAAAAGATTGTGATGTTTCCTATTTTTATTATTTAAACAAAGTTTTGAATAAAAACTCGGACATAATTTCAAAAACATTGAAACAAAAATAAATAAAAAAAGCTATTTCCCACATATCACAAAAAAGTTGGAAGTCAAAGTAATTGTAAATATATAATATATATTATTCCATAATAACTCATTCCGTATTTAGTGAAAATTACATCTTTTCAATATTGAAAGCAAAAAATCTTTAATTTCGTTTGCAGTCTCATTCACTAAAGTTACCTGTATAATATATGTCTTGTGTACAACATCTGTAAAACAACTTTATCCATTAAGAAATCCCAATATTTAAGATATTATTGAACAAAAAATTGATAAAATAACTTTTAATTCAAGTCAATTTAACTTTTTATAAATCCACAATTAACAAAAGTATTAAATTTCTAGTCATTTTGCAAAGTCATTTTTCAGAATACTAATTTGATTAACAGGATTTATAAATTTATAAAATAAAATTATATGAGAAAGAATGTATACATATTAAAAAATGATTGGTAAGCTAATTTTAATTTTTATTCAAATGTTAAAAAACTATTTTAATGGCAGTATGTTAGCACTATGGTTATGTCATTAACATCGCACCGATTAGACTTATTTTAAATAAGCTGCGATTTAAAATATGAAATAGAAGTGGGAATATTGATAACTTTAGGTATTTAAGAAATAAAAAGCTTGCCCACAAAAAGCATTTGTTTTTGCAAGCCCAGACTTCATGACAAAAAGATCTGTATATAAGAATTATGCTAAATATTTATATATATAAAAGAAATATTTTCACACAGAATAAAATATAACAGTAAATTTAACACAACAGTTATGAATTTCGATGAAAGCCAGATAATATACATATTAAGACCACTATATTTAAACACATTTACTTATACTTACTCATATATTTATTAACATATGCGATTATAAGACGAAAAATGTTACAAGAAAAGCAACACTCGGAATATAAACATATTTTTACGACAAATATCAAATGCATATTATTATTGTAATCTTGTATGGCCCAGAAATTATAAACAAATTACAGGTCATAATTTAATTTCAATTTAAATATCTGTCGAATTTAACTATCAATAATATAATAACTAGTAGATATTAATTGTAAATTATGCAAGACATTTGTGTATATATAAAAAAAAAAATTTTATTTGTGTTTAATTACTTATAATATTCAGTTTTTATTAAATAATTGATGTTAAAAGAACATGCTAAAGTAGAACCAGCAACAATGCATGCTACACTTCATATTATTACATCACGAACTTAATTCTGTACTTACTTCGGAGTGAGGAGAAATTTATTAAATAAATATGACTATAAAATGGAAAGGAAACATTTGTATTATAACGTACAAGCATGGGAGACAAAATTTCTTTTAATTTTAATAAGTTAATTATAATTAGTGGAATCATTTAATATACTTGTTTTACTACGGTATCAAAACACGTAATGATAAAAAATTCATGAAAAATCGACATAAAGTTAAAACTTGGACTAAAAACAACACGAGCATGGAGCTTCTGAAGGAAAAGGTACATGCAACTGCTGTATAACACAGAAAATGAAAAAAGTCCATCAACTTTAAGGTAAAAGTGAAACAGTGTTCAAATTTTAAATATTTTACATACTTCAATAATGGTACAAAAAAGCAAACAAGGGACTAAATTTGTTATCCCTTCCTTAATGCTAACCCATAATTGGAAAAAGAGTAACCAGTGCAGAAGATTATGTACCGGAGAGTGTAGTATATTAATAAGATCATCATTCAGTATGCTCAAAGTTAAAAAATTATACATAATCGAATATGGATATTATTTGCTACGAAAGTGCTTTTCTAACTTATACATGTATTAGCGTATATTTAAAGATACACGTTTATTAAAAATTAATCGTGAATAATTTAAAAACTCTTAAATTATTATTTCTTGAAAGCAACATATTTTCTGAATCTTTATTTTTTTCTAGTTCATGACTAATAACAGATTATAATTAAATTAATATTTAATCAAATTAGTTTAAGAATTAAATAATTGCATAATACATTACAAATTTAATCATAACTGAATTGTTTCACATTATATTATTCTTAATTTTAGAAATTTCTTTATAATTTAGAATTCACACAAAGAATTTTGTTGTAAAGCGTCAGACTTTTCATAACAAAAGAATTTTTCTACAATAATTACGAAATTTCAATTACGAATTTTGTTTTACGAGAAAATTTTTATTTAAAATTGAAAAGATATCTTTATAAAATTAAAAATTCTAATTTATTATAAACTAATTTAATAAAGATTTAAATTTATATATTCCTGTATATTAAATAAAAAAGTAATAGTTTTAAATGGAATGATTTTGTGACCAAATTTTTATGAATATTCAGGTTGAATTTTTTATTAGTAATACGTATGCAAATGTAATAAATAATATAGAATTACCAAGAGTTATTCTATTAATTTATATTTTATGATTATTTTATATATTCATTGTTAATATCATTTCAAAAATATTCAATTATATGTACTAGTAAAAATTATTCTGAGTTCATATAATAGTAGTTCTCATTTTGATTCAGATTCTCTACTTAATTTTTTGTGAAACAAAATTTGAAATAGGATACATACAACAGCCAATCGTTACAACTTATCAACGTATAGAATCCAAAAAACTGTCGACATTGCTGAGCTCTCTTATGGAAGATATGAAAAATGAACTAATGAATAGTGGGTAGTAAACATAATTAAATATTGATTGTTTATGTGCGTTTGAAAAATGTTCCATTGATGTTAATCAAATGAACTTAATTATCTAAATCAATGAATATATAAAATTATTTGGAAAAACTTCATATATTAGAAGTTAAAAAAGCCCTACAGTTATTTAAAGGTAGAAAAAAATGAGCTCTTCATTATTTTTGACATTAAAAGACAAAGGAGACTTACATTTAGCATCTTCTCTATGTGATGGACTTGAAGATAACGATATAAAGTAAGTTTTATTTCTTAGTTTATAAATATATTAATATGATATAAATTTATATTAGATTCATTCTCTATCTTACAGACAAGTGACGATTCTTTTGAAAAATAAAAAAGCAAATCCAAATGTCTTTATGCCATTGAATGGCATTACTCCATTTCATCTAGTTATAGGTAATGACTCTGAAGTTTTTGCTGAAGATGCAACTAAATTGTTTTTACAATATGGAGGAGATCCAAATGTTAAGTATGTATTATTAATTAATAAATAAATCAATCAATCAAAAGCTTGTATTAATATAAATATTTATATTGAATTAAATTTAAATGATTGCAGTATAAAAAATATAACACTGTCTGATTGACAATTATAAATATATTTTAAACTAAAATAAGTTTAATTAAATAAAATTTAATTAAATTCAATTATTTTATGACTTGTAATTACTATAAATTTTTATTTATAAAAAATTTATGTTTTACCTTTTTTGAAAAATTTTTACGACATTAAAAAATGTTTAAATTATAATTAAATATAAATGTTTTGTAATATTTAATTATAATTTACATGTTCATGGAAATATTTATATTTTATGTTAAAAAATATTTTTTAAACAGATATTTAGAAATATTTATCATATTTTAATTATTAATTTTAATCATAGCTTATCAATGTATAATATGTATAAATAATTTATAAACTAATAATATAACAATATTTTTAACATAGACAAATTTATAAATAATTAACAATTGATGTTTATTAATGATCTAGATCTGCTGATGCTATGACACCAGTTCATATAGCTGCAGCATGGGGAAGAGCTAAAATTCTTGAGCTTTTATTATCCAATGGGGGTGATCCACATGCTCTTGATTCAGATAACTGTTCTCCATTTCATTATGCATTTCAAGAAGAACATTATGAGGTTGTATCTATACTAAATAAATACTGTATCAATAAAAATAATAAAGGTGAACAACGAAAATTCAATCTAAAATTAGGTAAACTGAAAAATATAGTAAATATTAAGTTACAGTTGATAAGGATTATTTAAAAGGGTAATTATTTATAAGGGTAATTTATAAGGGTAATTTAAAAAATATATATGTGCTATAAATATATGGTATATATTTATACAATTTCTTGTAAATTAAAATATGAACTACAACTATTCTGATTCCACTTTTAATAATTTATAATTTTTATAATTGTAATTTAATAATTTATAAAGAGTAACTAATATTTTAATTAATAATTGGCTAAGTAATAGTAAAAGTAGTTTAATTATTTTTCAGATAAGATTATAATTAATAATGGTGATATATTAGGGGAATACCTTATGCAGGATAAGCAATTATTTGATAGTTCTTATAATATCTCTTCTTCATTTAGTAATAATTGTGAACATTCTAAAATTAATTTAAAAGGCTGTATATCAGAAAATGATGCAGCAGATACAATCTTATTAAGCACTGATTGTATTACTATTAGGAAATATCAAAGAAAAAGAGCTATAATGAATAGGACTAAACATATGCATATTAGTGCTAGAAAGGAAAATAATTTTGATTTTAGTAGAAAGAATGCAGAGGATGAAAAGTATTCAGTAAATGAAATTAATTTTCAATTATCAAATTCATCAAATAGAAGCAAAGTACATAGAAATGATACAGAATTGAAAAATGATAAAAATCATTATTTGGTTAAGTATAACACAAAATTGTCAAAAAGAAAACAAATTACAAAGTCTTTTAATAGATCAAAAAAATGTGAACATTTAAAATTCTATAAAAAACATACTACTAATAAACAAAATCATACATTAAAAATAATATTGCAGCATAACCATCTACCATATTTTAAAAATCATAAACATATATCTTATATGAATAAATGGTTTCATGAACCAATAATAAGCAAATCACCAAATTTAGCAATAAGTAGTTGTTTATATGATAAAAAGAAAACATTAAAAAGTTCAATTTATCAAAAAAAGTCGCCGAAAATTCAACCAAAATCGTCAGCTGCAATTATGTCAAACAAAATTAGATGTAGTACTTCTAACATTTGTAATATTTGTAATAAGCACACACCAATTCATCTACTGTCAAGCTTAAACAGGTATGAGTCAAATATATACAACTCAAATAAAACTAATTGGAATGAAAAAATATCTAAATTAATTATTTCTATCAAACACAAACATGATTTTTCAAGGAAAATTGCTACTGCTAAAAAGCCTAAGAATGTAAACCATCTAGATTGTATGTTCAGTGAACCTACAGCATCAACTCCTTTAATTCTTGAGAATAATAAAAACATACAAGAAATTGAAAGTAAAATGACAGATTTAAATAAATGTATGTATATCAATAATGAAGACAATTTGTACAAAGAGAATACTTTAAATATATTTGATTCTGAAATATTTAAAAAGAGAAATAAATACTTTTTTACTTTCCGAAATAAGTTACCTAAACTATTATCATGGTCTCAAGTAAGATCTGGGATTGAAATTATTGATTCTAACATTACATCAAACTCCAATTTAAGACTCAATAAAGAAGAAAAGGATGTAGATTTAAATCAAACGATTTTTTATTCTTTTTCACATATAGAATCAATGACTGAAAAAGTTATAGAAAAACAAAATTTTCAAAATTTTGATAATCCTAAAGAATCTTCTGATAGCTTACAATATTTAAAAAACTTTCCATTATTAAAATCAAAGAATAGTTTTTCAGAAGCTAAATTTGACAGTTATAACAAAAATAAGTATATAGAAAATAAAGAGAATATAAATATTAGATCATTATTGTCAGAAGCTAATAAAATCTCTTATAGAAATAAATATTCATCTCATAAACATTTTGATTTAGGAACGTCTTTCAGTATGGAAACAGAATATAAATATAAAGATCCTGAAAAAGATCTTGTTTTACTTGAAAGAAGCCTCTGCATCTCACCCTTTGAGTAAGAACTTTCACTTTTAATATATTGAGCTGGAATTAAATAGCAATACAAATTACTGTTATAAATTTTAAAATGTATATAAAGATAAAATTTTATTTATATTTAACATCTAAAAAAATATATATATGCTGTATTAAAATCGGTTTATCCTTACAGTCTTCGTTTTAATTAAAAACCAACATTTTAAAGATGTGTTATTCTACATTTTCTTTAATTTACTTTCCATAAATTACTAAAATAATTAACGTTAAAATATAAACATTAAATATTACAATATTTCAGTATATCTAGCATGAATAATTCATTCCATTCGTGTACCACTGCCAAATCTGAATTACTTAAAAAAAATATATACTTATTAGACAATAATACATTACGTGAGAGATTAAAGAATCTTGGTGAAAATCCAGGACCTATAACAAATAGAACTTATCACTTATATTTGAAATACCTTCACAAATTGGAAAACCAACAAAGAAATTTTATGCATTTAAATTCTATTTCAAAGGCTTATATTAAATATTTAAATAATATGGGTAGAGAAAAAAAAATGCTAAAATTTTCACGACTTTCTACAGAGTGGATTAAAAAATTAGATGATTTTGAAGCTATTGAACAAAAAGTTTTTCAAGAATTTGTTAACCCTACCCCATCCCATAAATGGCGTGAGGGTAATAGTAAAAATTCTTTTAACTATCTCCTACTTGATCCACGAATTACAAATAATTTTCCTCAAAGGGCTAGTAAGCTTACCTTGTCAGAAAAATGGGAAATTTTTCTATCAGCTATTTTTTATGTAGGTAAAGGTAAACAGTCTAGACCATATGCACATCTTTATGATGCTTTCAAGTTGTGGGTCTCTCATGATCAACAAAATTTTATAAATATGAAAATTCAAAGAATTTTAGATATTTGGAATGATGGAAAAGGAGTCATTGTTTTACACATTTTCCAAAATACTATTCCAGTGGAAGCTTATACAAGAGAAGCTGCAATGATAGAGATGTTAGGAACACAAAAATTAGGAAATTGTAAGCGTGGTGATTACTATGGAATTGTGGCAACTTGGAAAAAAAGAGAAAAATATGAATTGGGTAAATACTTACTGTTCAAAGCATTACAAATATTATTAGTAGAAGGAGAAAGACAAATTTTTCCTGATAATTTGTAATTGTGCTTTAAAATTGTAAATAATTATAAATTTCTATTATACAATAAATTAGTAGTTATACTTATTAATATTTATTTGAATAATAAAGAATAAAGTGAAGTATTGCAGTTATAAAAAATTAAGTTGGTCGAAAATGATTTTTATATTAATTTCCTTGCATATTTTTAATTTTGTTATATATATTTAACTTTTGGTATATCTATTGTTAATTTATTTGTATCATATTTATATTGTTATATAATTTAATTATAAAATGTTTTGATTTCATTTACTGATATTAAAAAAATTTTTTAATTATTTTTAATTATAAATAAAATTTAATATAATTAATTATAAAATAAAATTTATAAATTATAACATAAATTCTAGCTATTATTTTTGGTCAAAAGAAGTAAAGAAATTATATCATTACTCATATATAAATTAAATTAAAAATACGTATGTTAGAATAATAGTTCTAAGGAGGAATGATTGTGGATATATTTCTTCAACTTATCATAGATGTTATCAACTTTAAAAAAACAAAATAATTATTTTAGAGATTACATTTTATTAGCAAATTATACATCAAGGTCCTTAAAATATATCATAAGCAATAACATAACTGCCTAAAAAAATAAAAAATTTATGTATGTTTCATATAAATTATACACAAAAGCTTGTTAATAGTTAATCTATATGTTATCAGCGCTCGTATCTTAAAACATTATATATCTTCATGGTTTCTATAAATAATATAATTTATTTTATTAAGGAAGCTTTTGTTTTATTATTTCTATAGTACTATGTTTATAATCAAGACATTATTTGTGTCAGCAACAAGTATTATATTATACAATTGAAAATCTGTGAAATGTAGAATCACCAATGGATTAGTTTATATATATCATAGATGCTCTAGAAATTTTATTTTATACATTCCAATTACATTATATTCTTGGATTAGAGTAATGAACAAGCTTAGAAATTATAATATTAAAATGATACAGCTTTAAAATGCACGAATCAGAGTATAGTTAAAATATTTTTTATAAGAGTACAAATATTTTAAATGAAATTTTGATTTCTTATTTCTGAAATGTATATAACTTGTAATGCTAATTTAACTAGAAGACATTTTTAATGTAAACAAAAAACCGAACATTTTCAATAAACTTATTTAGTACTTCATTGTTGTAAATATTGTAAATATTGTTACTGCTGATTAATGTTAAAATTATTGGTTTGATATCTTGTTAAGTCTAGATATAGTTAGTAAAATAAAGAAGAAAAAATTAAAATTTGATGTATATTTAATAAAGTTTTAACATTAGACAATACACACAAGCTTACAAACAACATAATATATACATACTTTGGGTATGCATCTAATAAGGTAACAGTTGTATAGATTTGTGAATCCTACATGAAGATAGTCCATAAATTTTTTAATATGAATCTAAATAAATCAAATATAACACAAAAACGCTAGACACGCATGAACTGGATTATATATACCTTTAGTTATGAATTATAATTTAAAACCATATATACATTGGGAAGAAGATACAACAAATAAAATAATTACTAATTCATCATACAAATAATTATTGAATTACAAAATTGGTTAAAAATTATATAGCTTGTTGATTTTTTCTACATAGCGTTCTGGTCATTTAATGTTAAAAATTTTCAAAATACAATCTTAAAATTGTTATCATTATTATAATTAAGAATATAATTGAACAATGCCATTAATTGTATTCATAAATTTACATTAGAACAAAATTAATATAAATTATTTTAATTATATATGAAACAAAAATGATTACTATTTAATAATGAAAATCAATTAAGAATCGCAATATATAAAACCCATCGACCATTACAAATGAGTTACAAATAGTATATTAAAGATCCTATAGACACACGCCTCGAAACAAAATAAGGAATTTTTTTAATCACTGTTATACGTTTGATTTTTTATTTGAATAAAACTACATCGTAATATTTTATTATTAATGAAAAATGTACTTTGTAACTTTGATAATGTAATTTATTTATCTGCTTACTTTTATAATAAATCTATTAAGCGTACAAACCTATAAATTTTTTGTATAAATTAGTTTATATTAATGTAATCAGTACATTTAAATCAATATCGTTTTTAAATATAAATGTTTAAACTCTTGTCAAATTAATGTAGAGACTTTGAATATGTTGTTAAGATAAACGTATCATGCATTAATCCTTCAAGAATGGTGACAGTTTATTGATTTACTTCAATAATACAACCTTGTTCAGTAATATGTTCTTTTATTTTACTACTATTATACTATCAAAATAATAACAGACCTTCATATTAAAAGAAATATGTTTTATTAATCATTTTATACACAAGATTTATAGTTTTTTTTCATATATATATATATATATATATATATGATTTCTCGCCTTATACACCTTGCTTTGATTATTGGAACTTAAATGTAAATTATTTACATTTATTATTTAATTACTTAAAGAATTTAATTATAAATTTTTATGCATTATAAAAAAGTTTACAAACAATTTATAATTATTCGTTATTTTTCCATTTCATTTTTATCAAAGATTGTGTACGCTAACATTGTGTTTATTTGTATACAAATGTGAACTAAATGACAGATAAATTTACAATAAAAATTATAAATATATATGTTCAGTAATAAAATTTAATTTATTATAAATTTTATGCAGTTAATTTTACATAATACATTAATAACCAATAGAAACACAGTTGATCAAAGTAGCTTAAAAGTATAGTATCGTTTGCTTATCACTGATCTCGAATCCTTGAAAGTAGTAGGCACCTAATTTGAATAAATAAATAAAAAGTAACAACGTATGTCTGAATTATTTATATATTAATACATTTCCTATAATTACATTAAAATTTATAAACTTCTAAAAGCCTAGAAAATTAATGCCTAAACTTATCGCTAAGTTTGAGCATATTTACTATACATTTTAAACAAATGTCAGTGGTATCCAGAAATAACATTGAATTTTATATACAATAATTAAATTCACATTATTAAATATAATGAACATTTTTACAATAATATATATAAATTTATGTTTCTTATTTATATTATTGATATTGAAAATGTTAATAAATTAAATTATTAAACAAATTACTGAATTAATAAAGAATAATAAACTAAATTATCACAATATTTAATTTAAATACCTAGAATACAAAGAAAATAAAGTTCCATTTAATTGAATAAGTGACTAGTAAAATATTTTTAAAAATTAATAAGAACAAAATGTGATAAATAAATGAAGAATTGCTCAGAGATTATGTAATTCTTAAATAAAAATTTTGTTTAATTTGATTATTAATATTACTAACATTTATTTTTAATATATATATTTTATTAACGTTTTTTATAAAGAGTTAAATATTAACAATTTTACTTAAATTAATTTTTTCAAGTATATTAGATAATTTTTAAATAGAGATCTTTAAACATTCAATTAAATAAACCATTATGAGTCAATTTGTATTGAAATTTAATTGGTTCTTATATATTATTAATTCAACAAATAATAACCGAAAATTAATAAATAATACTTCGTTTTTAAATAAGCGCGGTAAAAAAAACCGTAAGTAAATCATTGAAATTATATTCAGAAATCTTATTATCACGGCATACAGAGCAAAATCGAGTTGGTGTTAATTATTACTATATAATACATAATTTAATTATGTTTGTATTTTCGCAACATTTGTTGATAAGACATACTATTATCTAAATGTAAGCATATATTATATAAATTTAATTTACAATTATACTTTATAATCTTTGATCAATATTTCATATTTTAAGGTTATAAATTTTTGCAAACTTAATTACTTGTATGACTTTCTTCGTGATTTTTCATCAGTAAATACAGTTTCCATATAAAAATATATATCATCATCACACATATGGATCGTAATAACAAATTAATTGAAAATAATTTATTTTAAATAAATTGTGCTTTAAAGATTTCATTAAATTTATATAATAAGACAGAAATTATATATCATTTACTGGAATATAACTTAATACATACCTAAAAATTAATGAAAAATAATGGTCTATAAAATATATATTTAATATTTACTTTGTAGATATTTATCAATTATTTTAATTTTAATAAAATAGTTTGCAATTTGATGGCAAAATGCCATTTATTTTTTATTTTGTATATTCAATGATAAAAAATATAAAATATTTTTAAAAACTATATTTTTTAAAAATTATATTTTATAAATCTATTCAGAAAAATTAATTTTTATATTTATTTCACAAAAACATATTTATTATACAAAAATATTATATATAACTAGTATATATATTTAAACAACATATTATATGTAACAGAAATTAACATATAAAATAATTGTGTAGATTGTATAAAATAATATATATTAAGCTATAATAAATTACAGATAATCATTATATTTTATATTAATTCCAACTAAATTTACTAATTACAGATAAACATTATCAAAAGTTAAATTCATTCAACTTTAATAGCTGTATAATTATCTCAAAATCCAAATGGGTAAAAATATTTATTATCTTTATCATCTTATTGATATAAATAAGTAAATAGAAAATTAATTTATAATATCTATACAATAATCATGATATTACAACTCAATCATTCGTTTAAATTTTTTTTTGCAATTTTATTGTTTAATTAAATATTTAAATTTTAGATAAAATTGCATTAAAAATTGATACTCCATCAGACGGCACTAATCAAATGTTTACTCAACCAATCATGAGTAAGTATATTCTTATATATATTTATGTATTTAATAATAACTATCGAATGACTTATATATTTGAATCATATTACTATTAGTAAATAAGATATTTCTAATATTATAATTATAATACTAATTACAATATTATTAACATACTGAATTGAAATTAAAACATGAAGCATTCATTATATAATTTGAAAAAATGATTAATTAAATGTAAAATATAATTTATTTTTATTTCACACAGAAGTTATTAAAAGTAACTTATAAATTTAAAACTTTTATAAATTTTATTAATTTGTTATGTTTCATAGGATTGTATTTTAAGGAATAAAAGTTATGAATATAAATATTTTACAGCTACTTATTCAACTAATCTTCCATATAATTCTTTTCTCAAAGAGGAACTCATTATCATCGCAGATGATTCTTCTAATTTTTTTGGTATCATAATTTAATTTAATATTTTAATATATATTATTTGAAACGAATAGCTATATTGCTTCCATTTTATTTTAGAAAAACAGCTGCCATCTAATTCTCAGAATAATCTGGCAACGAATAGTAATTTTCATAAAACTCATATAGGTAAAATTTAAATGTAGTAAATGTAATTTAATTGAAATTATATAATATTTTTATATTATAGCTACTGAATCAATACAAAATAGTAATGTCAGCAATATACTCAATTTAGGAGCAGAATTGACAGTAGCACAGGGAAGAACTAGTAAGTTTTCTTTTATAATTTTAGTGATTACTTAAGTATTATTTTTAATAATGAATTAATAGCGATTTTAAGCGAAATTTCATTTTAATTTTTTTTTTAATTTTAACTTAATATAATAATTATTGATTATATTATGCCTAAAATACATTATATATTATAGAGATAAAGTGTGAGCTATATTGTATACAATGTGATAGAATAGTTGATGAAGAAACAATTGTACAAAATGCTGAAAGTCTAGAGTGTAAAGAATGTAATACTCGACTACAATTTAAATGCAAAAATTGCCCAAAACGATATGAACAGTTACGTGGACTTCATAGACACATTAGATATGAATGTGGTAGTATAAAAAGATATCATTGTACTCATTGTCAGTTTAAGTGTATTCGTGAAATACATCTTGACTTGCATATTAAAAAGAAACATGACTCCGAATATTGTTTTAAGTGCTCAAAATGTGGTAAAGTTTATCATAAACGATGGTGCTTAAAAGAACATGAGAGATCTTGCGAAATGCCACTAAAATGTGAATTTTGTTCTTTTAGAACAACACAGAAACAAAGTCTTAATTATCACATAGGGGCCATTCATAAATTGCCACATAATATCTTTTAGTAATTTTAGTACTATGGTCTTTCTTATTCTGAAAATATATTTATAAGAAACAATACTTTGTTTATTATTCATTCATTTGTTGGCATATACGTAATGTTAAAATATAATTATGTATGATTTATATTTTTCTAAAGAGAAATAAATATAAATAATTTTTTTTTACTTTTTTATACAATATAAAAAATGTGTTTATATACTTCTAAATAAGTATTTCAAGTTATAATATACATAAATAAAAATGAAAATTAATATTATCGTATTGATTTAGTTATATTTTCAAATTGAACGTTTAAAAATAATTTTTATATTTTATTCAGGAAAAATGCTTAACAAATGAATAACTATTGCAGATGTATAATAGTATAAAAAATGTTTTAGATTTAATACAAATACACTGATTGAAAAAGAAAAATTTTCATTTTAAAACTAATTTATTCATATAAAAAGTTAATTAATTTTACTTAAAGTATTTATTTATATAATGTATTTTAAGTTTTTAATTGTAGAACTTAAATTTTGATAATTTTCTTTATCATTCATAATATAATATAATTACTTTTACTATAAAATGCATCTGATAAGAATGTTATTACATTCTAAGTGTTTTAATATAATATAGAAATCAATACTTTGAAACTTTAGAAAGCTTTTATTATTGACAAATATTTAATAAGATTATTAATGTATCTAACTAAATATAGATGTATTAAGTTTTATTGTATTAAACATTTAAATTAAAATAATTCTATCATTTCTTCATTTATTTAAAAAATTTTTTAACCTTTGATTTACAGTCATTAAAATCATATATATATATATATATATATAATTTTAAAGAATTTGCTATTATTAAAGTAAATAAAAAAATATTGCATTATGCAACATTTTAACTGATTCTTAAGTATTTCATCATTATAGAAAACCATTTATAAATTTGATGAAATTACAATAAAAATATATATATGTCTTATATCCTTTATTTAATAATATAAAGTGTCACATGCACTTGATATATTTTATTAATAGAGTATTAATATATAGATTTTTATTAAATTAATGTTTTAATATAAACTAGTTTTATATATTTACATAGTTGTAAATATAATTATAAATATCAGTATTTAAACATTTTAATCGATTTTACAATATATGCATAATAAGTAATTGTATAAATGAAATTATGCATAGGTAAAATGAATTTATTATATGAAAAACAATAATCAACAAGTCTTAAGTAAAATTGCAAAAACACTAATTTATAATCATTCTTTGATCAAATTTACTTTACTTTTGTCTTATTATTTAGAATTCCAGTCATCCAGTGGTTGAAGGACCAGGCTGGTTGGATTAGACTATGACCACCAGTTGCTTGGTGGGAGAAAAGTGTGGATAAGTGGAAAGGGTAGCGCTTCAATTCAATATTTATTACATCTGCTTTTCGTGCTGTTTATTGCGTTTCAATTACAACTACACTGTAATGATTCTAAGTTGATTATGAGAATTATTGAGATCTTGCAGTTCCTTAGTGGTTGCCACGTGGTGTTAGCATGCACTACATACAAAGGTAGGAGGTCGTAAATCTCCGGATCTTCTCAATCTAGTGTGCTTGGTGGTAAATTATTATACTGAGAAGTAAGAGGTCGTAAATCTCTGATACTTCTTCGTGTAGTGCCAGGTGATGGTAACGTGTTGAGATGTTGGTTGAACGTGGTGTCTTATTTCCTTTTAGAAGGGCCTTGTTAGCCTTTCTTTGTAGCACGTTGTGTCTTTTTGCCTGTGTATTAGTCGCACATTAGTAGGAGGGCCTTGTTGGCTTTTTTTTTACTACACGCGGTGTCTTATTTACGTTTAGAAGGGTCTTGTTAGCCTTCCTTTGTCGCACGTTGTGTCTTATTGCCTGTGTGTTAGTTGTACTATTATTAGGAGAGCCTTTATGGCCTTTTGATGGTACTCATAGAGATACAATTGCCTTGCCAGATCTTGTGATGAGTACCTAGATATCGCGCTTCTTGTAGTTGTGTCCGTTCTTGTAATGACTCCATTGTGTAAGCACTCTTGACTGCTTTCAATTATTCCACACTTGAGAATTGAAAGTGTATTGAATATATGATTTCACTGTATCGACGTAACTGAGTAATTACCTTATAGCTGTAAAGTCTGGCTGAATGATGTAATTACAATGAGCGCCTACAAGTCTGTTGAATACATAGATGAAACTAAAGGCTTATTCGTTCCGTGGCGGCTCTGCTGAGAAATAGCAACTGTACCATGTCGGTCCTTCTAAGACAGACCGTGATCCGTGCCATGGCGTCTTCACTGAGAGAGCGAGGCACGTTACTTAGCTGGCAACAATACATAGGTGTATTATGCCGACAGTTTCGCATGACGTCAGAGACTAAATAAAGCTCTAGAACTTTCGAGAACTCCAGGAAAGCAAAGCTTTAAAAGGTTGGCGAATTCCAACCAATTATAGGACACTCGAAAATAAGGCTTAAAATGTTCGTGAATTCGCGGAATCAATGTTTACAAACGCGAGAGTAAGAAGGCTTATACTTGTCAGATTTTCAGTCTTGGAAAATACTCCGAACTTTAAAAATTCCGAACACTTATTGTCTGAGATCAGACTTAAAAACCTCCTTAGATGTTGTGTAGAAGTTTTGCTGGCAAGTGAAAGGATAGTGCAATTATTCAAGACTACTTTTAATGTTTATCTTTGCTTCTTTATTAAATATAATAATAATAAATAATTAATTATAAAGTATAATAATATAATAGATTAAATATAAGTTTCCTTTATTTTTACTTATTATGTATGTATTCTTCTTTTGTTGTATAATGAATAAATGCTATCTTAGCATTCATTAAATTGTTGATATATATGTTATATATTGATGCCGCGCCTATGTTATGTCGGTTTTATCTGGAATATGTTTCAATAATAGTACGTTGATTCCGCGCCTATGATACGTCTGTCTTAATAGTAAAGCTTATGCCGAGCCTTTCTTACATCGGTCTTGTCTTATATATGAGTTGCTTCAATATATTTTATGTTTCACTATTGTTTTATAGTCACTAATATTATTAAACTGTGGTTTTATATATATATATATGATCGAATATATATAGTGTGTATTATAATGATTGTGTAATGTTAATAGATTGAGGCAAACTGACTGTTGTGCGTGAAGCACAGCTCTTAAATATTATCGCACTCATTCTCCAAAGCTGATGTTTATTACCATGACGATATTGGTCATGACGTCATTATAACATAGCTTGAAACGTTCGTTGCTAATATTTTGTTTAAATAACTGAATTGCGCTTTCATACCTCTCCCACTTTTAACTTTCTATTTTTTGTCCGTAACACTTATATATAATAATGTATTTATCTATGTTCGAGAATGTAAGAATACTCCCAGCTCATACAATAAAGACATGAAGCATATGAAAAGAACGACACCAGTGTCCCAGTAATAAGCATAACTGGTTAAAAAAAACAACCAATGATTTCCCTTAGATCAAGGCAATCCACGAGCTGCATAATTTTATAATGAATACAAAACCCTTCAGTCACAAGCATACCTGCACACGGGCCATGTCCCACCGGCTGACAGCATATACAACTCATGTTAGCATACATATGCCAACAATATTCGATTCATGAAGACCTTTACGACCTTGTTCTTCTACGTGTATAACTCCACCACCGCGTGCATTACATATAGAGGACCAGAAGGTTACGCCCTTCTACCTGTATATGCAACGCACATTACAGCTCTGTGGCAATAGCAATACAAAACTCAACAAGAAACGAAGGCATTCAAACATCAACTAAAAATCATTATAATACAACTAATGCTATTATCGCAATAAACTACAATGAATACCAAAGCTATTTATTATTGAATACATGCACCATCCTGTCCATTTGCCCGTAATCCAAGTTGCACCAATGCAAGTTTACACTTAACTTTTGATATTTGGCCCTCCTAGCCCGGTACTACACGATAGTTTTTATAACTATACATATTAATATATATTTGAAAATTAAACCATGTCGTTTGATCTGAAAATAATAATGAATAGTTACTCTTCTTGTTTTATAGTTGCAAACAAAAATAAGATGTATGCTACTAACAAATTGAAAATTGTATAATTAAATTCTACATATTGGATTCTAATATTGGAAAAAAGTTAATTTATTGAATATGTAATATATGTATATAATATATATAATATATATAATATATATAAATATGTATATAATATATGTTTGTTGAATTATAAACTAGGATATTTTAATCGATATAAGAGATAAAAAGAATAGTTTAGCTATGTACAGTGTTACTTTCCAATGATCTTATTTTATTATGTGGAGGAAACACTTTCTGAGATTTGTTTATTTTAAGATAAAATCTATAAATTATAATCTTTGATCATTTTTAAATAATACAATAGAACGAAGTCCACTGTTAGTTATAACGTTTAAAATGTAATTAATCAATGATTCTTGACACCTTTGGGACGAAGATTAATTAGAAATAACTTTTTCCAAATCCAAATTTTAATCCAATTTTAACTTTTCCTAATCGAAATTAAAATGCTATTATTAAAGAGTCTTTATTAATCCAAGTCTTCAAATACGCTCTTAATTAGAAACATTAGTTTATGCATCATATTTATGATTCGAAATATATTCACTGAATTATATATAATAACATAACATATATATATAGTAATTATAAAAATTATATATAGTAAGATTAATTTGAACATTTTTTTATAAATGATTATTTAGAATCGTTTTTGAATATAGATTCAATCTAAAGAATTTCTTTAAACATGGCCACGGTTTTATGTATGTAGGAAGGTACTAGTTTTCCTGATTTTTATACATTATGGTATCTACTTTTCTTAGAAGTCCTCGATGATTATTACTAAAATTGCGTTAATTAATATTTGATCTTTTTAAACCGTTTGTCGGTAAACACCATCCTACTACAATTTTATGGATTTCGTTTTGATTTTTTAAACTTTTCTCGGTCATATTGTAATTTAGTATATAAAACCGTCTAATTTTGTTAATGATGCAGAATTTGACAATTCTGTCAATATTACTAAATCATCTCATGTTGTGGTATATTACTTACTACAATAGGCTTGGGTTAATTATAATTAATTTTATAAATATTTATTAATATTTCTATCGATTGATAAATCGTTAATTCTATTATAGTCAATAAACATTTTTAATTATAGGTGTATAAGATTTACCTATAGTTATTTAGAAGTATAGAGCATATAATATTAATATTTCTAAATTTCTCTGCAATGTTCTTCGGATCGGTTTTATTTATTCCTTAAATAGATTACATTTAATAGGAGGATCTCTTAGTTAAAAATTACTAATACTTGTATAAAATACTTTATATACAAGTATTATTAATTGTATCATATATACTATTCTATTTTAAATTGTGATTGTATTGAGAATATATTAAAATAGAAAATTTTAGTAAAAAGATAAAACAACGAAAATAAACAAATTAAATATAAGAACAAATATGGAATATTTAATTATTTTCTCATAATGATTATAATATTATAAATATCATAATTATAAAAAATATATTTTTACGTTTAAAAAATCTGATTATGAATCTGCAACAATTGTTTATCTATAATGGATATTAGAATAAAAATATAAAATTGAATTTTATATATATTTCAAAAACTCACATCATTATTTGTTGTATAAAAATTTTGTTCATATTAAACATATAAAATTTCAATTTAACATTTATTACATATTTTATTAATTTTGATAAAAAAATGGCACTTTTTTTGTATTTAATAACTCAATAACAAATATTAAGATTTTATTAAATTTACAGAAGAATACAAAATAATTTCTTTTGTACAAATAAAAAAATAAGCTTTGTTGAAAATGAAAATTTAAAAATGATTTAAAAAAATTTAAGATAATATAGATTTTAAAAAATTAAGATGATAAAAAAAGTCACGTAAATTATAATGAGTAGCTACTCTTCTAAGAATAATTATATTACATGAGAATCAAGAATAAATATTAAATATTTAAAAGTATCAAAAATTACAAAAAATAAAATTGCAAATATATAACTTAATTTGTTTTTATTATTTTCAAAATTTTTAAACTTAAACATAAAACTATTTTAGTTAGTTTTTTTACTGCATTGTATAAAATTTTGATAGACTATATAGTATTTTGTCTATAATTTATATAATGTCTGTTTTTATCTAATGTCTCTGCCTATAATTTATGTCGTAGAAAAAATTGAAGTTCAAAAATTACATTCAAATTTTTGAATAAATGAATATAGTTAAAATATAATTAGTAATCATATAAATAATAACTTTAGGTTAAGGTTATTATTTATAAACCACTCCAGAGAAGAATAAAAGTAAAAATTAATTGTGCTGATGTAGATCCATTATAAACTGATGAATTTAGATTGGATTCTGAAAGAGAATTTTTTTATGTAAATAAAACTTTATAACAAATGTCATTTTTTATTTATTTTATAAAAAGTAACTATACTCAATTAAATTTATATAAATTAGTATTTTATCTTAATTACAGACTCTATGCAATTACTTCAATAAATTCAATTGGAGAAATTCAATTTAATTATTATATTTTTGTAATTTTAGATAGAATTAATTTTATGTAAAATTTTATATTAATAACTATTTAGATTTTTATATTTTCTGAAAAAGTATTGTTTATTATGTTTCTTTAAAAACATTTGCTTACTTTTTTATTTTCCAAATTTTCATATTGATTTTTCACTGAGAATTACAATTCATTAATCATTTAAAAGACAAATTATCTATTTTTAATAGATTAAAAAAAACAATAACACATGAACAAATTGGTATATTGTCATAAATTTTTTTTATAGATAATAAAATTCTTATGCATTATTATGATTTAATTATTAATTATTGAAATCATTTTAACCTTTTTTGGAATAATATTTTCCATTATCTTTATTTTTATCTTTTTATTGTTTTTCATTTCTAGCAGAAAACAATAAATTAATTTTTCAACAGTAATACAATTCTCCCAATATTTTCTTAAAACGCTATTATTTATATATTATTGTAAAATATTCAATTTCATAGAATATTATTAGTTTTGAACTAACAAATTAATTGTATTTGTCATTTCATAGATACATATTTTAGTAGATTTTACGATACGTATTGTTTCTGAATGGTCAGCATATTATATAATCACTACAGAACAAAGTTGAATTAATCACTTGTGAATTATTACGATATTTATTAATTTTAAAATACCAACAGAATTACTTATCTACATATTTATTTAAAATTTTGATTAAATGCTTAATTTTATATTCTCATTTCCTACAAAGACTGTACTATGCAGTAAATACAAATTAAATGTAATTAATTACAAAAATTAATTAAAATGTGCCAGAAATATTAAATTAAAAAAAATGAAATTATGTTTTTTAGAATACACAAACTAATACAGATTTAATGAAATATAGTTACTTATTGAAAAAATATATTACAAATAATTAAATTTCAATTTAGATTGCTTACTTGTCAAAATATCTGCACTTTTTTCAATTAAATTACGAATTCCACAATGACGATATCCTACGATATTTTTATGCTTAAATTGTACATAACCAGGTGTAGTTAAACTTGGTGCTTCAAGCTTACCAGTATACATCAATTTGCTAAAATCTTGCTCTAGTTTATTAGCAATTGGACCTTTTAAATAGATAAAATTTATTTATTGTGTAAACCATATATAATTATTAACACTAGTAATATAATTATTACCTTTAAAATGCATTAAAAATTGAATGCAGCTGCTATTGTGTAAAATTTTCGTTTTTCTACTATCAATAGATAACATCCATTCTGGAACTCCCATTATTTGTCTTATCTCTTCTAAAAATTGTGCTCTAAAATAAATCAATATGTATATAATCTATAAAAACATTTAATATCATTTTTTATATGGCTACATTCAATGATAGAACTTTAAAAAATAAAAGAGTAAGATAATAAATTTATAATATATGACCACTAAAATTCAATACTTTGAAAACATCATGTTGACAGAGATTAGTTATAGAATTGTTAATGTTATAATTACTAAAACGTTAGCCTCATATAAACTTACGCCACAAATCGTGATGATTTACTTATAATAGCATATTTAACTATGTCATTATCTAGTTCAATATTAGCACAAGCAAATTTATTACTGCTAAAGTTACTATCCAAAATGATTATTGATTTTCCTACAGCTGTAATTGAACCTCCAAGAGGAAAGTTCTGATCTACAAATACTTTTCTCTCCAAACCGATATCGATTGGTCCTAAACGCGCTGATATGTCACCTACATCACAGCGTAATGGAATATCTGGTCCACATTCTTGCATATATAGATTCTGCTAAAGTACAAGGATAATGCTTGTTAGTTTTTTACCTACTGTATTATATACTATAAATAAGCTACTATATAAATCTGATGTCTTACATGAATTAATAAATATGAAATATTATAATTAAAAGAACAATGTACAGCATATAGAAAACTACATATGCCTATATGCATTCTTTACTTTTTAAATTTAAATAGAATTAGTTTAAATAAAAAATTGAATTTATTTTTGAATTTTATGAATTTATTATTATTTTATCCCTTAAAATATAAAACAAGCATTTTTTAAATCACTTAATAAACTATTACATTTAAAGGATCAGATAATTGTGTGAAATAAGGATTCCATCTGTATCCTCCTGCTATACATCGCGTATCTTTGGTTTTTATTGAAGCGTCGATACCTATAGGATTAATATATATAGCCCAATTGTGATTTCTTGTCTGAAATATACAATTACATTTAATATATTGTATAAAACATAAAATATTTATTACTTAATGTATATATGAATAGTTAACATAAACAAAAATATTAATTAAGTAAAAATTAATTATTTCAAAATATAATCACAGTACATCAACTATATAATAAAAAATTATATATATATTACTCTAGATGAAATCATAAAATATTCAAATATTAATTGTATTTATCTTAGTCCAAAGATAATACTTACAACATTGCGATTATATTTACCAGGATGTCGTAAATTAACTTCAATAATAGTATCACTTTGACTGCCGTCATTATAAATTAGCTGTTTCTATAGTATACAATTATAATTAAATTATTCTTTTAAAGAAATTAACTATAAATTATATGTTAGTAAATCTTTGTTTTCTGGTATTATTTATTATTATTATATCTAAATAATAAAAAATTAAATATGAAAAGTTTAATTGTATAAATAAAGTAATTATACAAAAGTATCGTCATTTGTTTTTAATGATTTTATAGATTTAGTAAATTTATATACTTTTGTGATAACAATTGTAAATAATAATAAAAAATAAATTACCATTCTAATGTATCCATATGCAAAACCATAAGGATGATGGAAAGAGGCGATAGCTTTTAATTCCTTAGCTTCTAAAGGAGCATATTCTCGTTCAATAGTTGTACAAGTCAATCTGTATTATAACAAATATTAATATATATACAATTCAATTATAAAATATTTCAATTTTTATTCAACATTTGAACTAATTTAATATTATAAAAATAATTTTGCTAATATTGTAATTATATTTAAAAATTTTAATTTATAAATTATGAATCTAGAATATTCTACTATTATTATGTATTATGTTTATATTTAAGTTTATGTTATTTTTAAAAATTCAAATTGATTAAAAAGAGAAAAAATTATTATATGATCCAAAGGTATTAGAAAATAAAATTATGTGCTTAAGTATTTATATATAAGAGATCAAAAAGAATATAAAGATACATAGTAATAAATATTAATTAACACAAATTATATTTCATGTGACAAAAAAGAAAATTAATTATACAAAGTTAATTAAAAGTTCTTGTATTAAAAGGTCCACCTGGTATTTTTTTCTTTCTTATATATAACGACGCTTCGTCCCAGTATGCTCCATAACCCAAAAAGAGGTAGTTGGGTATCCTTGAAACTAGCTATGAACCTCTGATGTATATTCAAGATACCAAACTTTCCACTGAGATCACCCATTGCATACTGATCACTAGTACCTGTTGCTGGTGGCGGAGTCATACTTGCATTTACATTAAGGGGGTTCCATTGGCCGTAAAGTGAAGTGCTCTCACATGGGAACTCTAAATCTATTTCGACTGGAGTCTATTGAAAATATTAAAATTTCATTATTCACTGATAATTATTCTAAATATAATATATTTTATTTCAAGAATATTCAAATTGAATTTTCTTTATAGATAATAAATAATTTCAACTATATTTAATTTTTTAAATATTTTAAATATTATATAAATTCGTTCAATGACAGAAATATAAAAACCAATGTTTTTTAATTAAGATTTTTAAACACACTGAAACATTTTTAACTTAAATAGTATAGCCCATTAATATATGCAATTAACTTATATGAATGATTATTTGGTAATTAAAGTATAATTAAATTAAAATTTATTCAAATGTATCGAAACAATTTAAAAAATGTAGGGCAAAATGAATACAGAGCAAACATTTTTTTTAAGACATGCTCTTTAAAGTGTTCATTAAGAATGGACATATTCAGATTAAAAAAGTAATATTGACTATGAATGATACAATAAAAAATATAAACAAATATAATTGATAACTATAAAAATATAGAACATTTGAAAAACTTTTTTAATTTTAATTATCATAGAGTACTTGTAAATTAATAAATTATAAAAATGAAGTCATTACATATCAAAATAATAGTTGTAAGAACTGTAAATTTTTATTTCTAATTTTTTTTTCGATATTAATTTTATTTAATTTTAATTAAAAAAAAAATTTTTTTATCTGCAAAAACTAAATAAGGATGTTAATATTAATTTATAGCAAATTGAACTGATTATTTAACTTCAATTTATCTAATTTTAAGTGAACTCAAATATAATTACCATATGAATATGAAATCCACCCATATTAATATTTAAGTCTTCAAGATTAATTTTAATATTGGTTATATCGTATGGGCTTTCTTGGATAAATTTCAAATTTCCATTTATAGTTATATTTTCTTCATTGCTAAACCAATCTTTAGCCACAGCTTTTTGTCTATGCATTCTGGTTATTCTAAATATATTTAAATAAAACAAACATGACTAAATAAAATAATTTTTTTACGTTTAAACGAAATTATTTTTTATTATAAAGGCTACCCATTAAATCTTAATATTTATGTTATAATAATAAAATAATTAAAATTATTATTATACTCAATATTCATTAAAAATATATTATATATTTGGAATTATGAAATATGAATTATGAAAGTTTGCTTTCATATAAGTGTTTTTAGTAAATTTTGATTTAGTATAAAAATATTTTGGTTATACTGCTTACATAGAACATGCTAGACGTTCTCCTCTAACATTAGACTCACGATCATCATAAATAACTAGACTTTTACCTATAATACTCATTGATCCCGAAAGTTTGATTAAAGGATCAGAAAAGAGTTTTCTAGTCAATCTCAATCCGTTGATTTTTCGTCCAGCTATATTAATTGTACCGTGTCTAAAAAAGTCGCCTATGCGACAAAGAGTCATATCACTTACCGAACATTGATGGATATGATTAGAATCCCATTGAACCTATAAATGTTTAAATATGTTTATACTTAATAATCAATTGCTTTTATGCAGTTTTTTAATTTCAGAATTAAATTAAACCAAATAATAAATTTTGTAATAAAAGAAAGGTATTAAATTGTGTTTTTGGTATTAAATTTCGATGATGTGTGTCTAAATATTAAATGAAAATTTTTTTAAATGTTAAAATTATAAAACAGTACTTATAATTTATATTTATTTATCAATTTATTTTTTGATAATTATATATTTGTCATATTTCTAAATAAGTTATCATTTATACTTAATTCTTTACCATAGCAATTAATGTAATATTTGAAAATTATATTAATATAAAAATAATTATACATTTATTTTAGTATATTATATATATATATATATATTAGTATATAATATAATATATACTATATTAGATATAATAAATATATATGAAAATATACTGATTTAATTAATTTAATTTATTTATAAGAACCTTGTAGGGATTAAAGGGTGCACCTGTGCTCATACATCTTGCTGTCCAATTATAATAATCTCTTCCAGGTGGATTATCATGAATCATCCAGCTAAAAGAATGTAATAAAATAGAAAATTAAATTAAGTTTAAAACATATTTTAACATAATATATCATTTAAATGTGGAAATACATAATAAAAGAATGCAGTATTTAAACATTTTACCGGTGATCAAAAGAATCATTTAATATACTACCATCAGTATGTATCAAATTTTCTATAATTATTGTAGTATCCATTTCTGGTTCATTTCTTGGTTGTCGAAAAATAATTTTACCAACGATAGGATAACGAAATATCACTTCAGCTGTATTCATTGGCATTTGACCTGCATTTTCTGGTAATTGTACAGCAAATGTTCCACAAACCCATGGAATGATGCTTATTTTGTCATTAATTTCGTTATATCTAAACAAATTATGCAAAATATATGGAAATTGTAAATTGTAAAGAAAACCTACAAACATATGCTGAAACATTCAAAATACTTTATATTTTTAATTTACAATGATGTTTTTTCATTTATATTATTATTAATTAGTGACAACATATAATTTTACAGTTTTTAATTTTATCATAATAAAGTGATATATATATATTTGTTTTATTTAACTAAGTCAATAGGTATTTACTAGATTGTATAAATTATTATACAATAATAATATATTTCTGTATATAATTACATATGCATACAACTGCTTTCATATATGTAGTGAATTTTGACATTGTCTTTCACTATTTTATACGTTTACATAATTCTGAGTTACTAAATAATTAATTTTTAAAGATACACACACACACAATTGAAATTTAATTATTACTATTTAAAGATCATGTTTTTAAAGTAATCATATTTTCTATATTTATTATTTTTATATTTATTTAATGTATAAAATAGTAATTTATAAATTTAAACTTTGTAATAAATTTGATAAGAATAGTTTAAATTAATTAAAATTAAAATAAAAATATAAAGTCAATTAAAAAAATTAATTTTACTTGTATACAACTAGAGATCTATGAACAACACTGTTTATTCCTGATAAAGGAAGATATGTATCCCAATATATTCCACTAAGTTTTGCACTACTCGGAAGAATATCAAAATGATGTGATCCTTCTTTATGACCTTGAAGTTTTCCTGATAAATCACCAACAGCATATTGGTCTTGAGTACCATATCCTAAAGATAATTAACAATTAAAAATAGTTGAATGCAATATTAAATTTCTCTTAATTTGTCTTAATGCCATATCTATATTAAAGATTAATTTTAATAATAATTAGTATTCGAATTTATAATGTTTATATATTTCATCAACATGTAATAAAAATGATAAAAATACTATTTTTAAATTATTTTAAATTATTAAAAAATTAAATGTAATTGTATATATTTGTCTCATTTGCGTTATTTAATAGATTTTTTAAATATTCTTCAAAATAATATTGTAAAATTAAATATAGTCTAAAAAACAAATTAAATGTTTCCTGCAGTACTTTCACCAATTAAAAATGTTTACCAGCTGGAGGAATTTCTTTATCATAGATTTTTAAGGGGTCGTAGACGTTTTTGGTTGTTAAACATGGATCAATAGTTTCTTGTATTAACTTATCAGGTTCTATAGGTAATTCATGAATTCGGTAAGAAGCAACTTTCGTTTCGTATCGTAGTCTTGTTTCTAGATCATTAATAGGCATTAATGATATATTTACCCACGTAGGATTGAACGGATTTTCTTGAACAAGAGATACATCACCTTTGATACCTCGAAAATTCACAATCGACCTGTAATTTCATGAATTGTAAGTTTAAAAATAATTCGCATTTAAAGTCAAACAAAATAAAAAAGGATTATTTTCTTATATCGTTTTTAAAAATTGTTAATAAGAATAATAAACTTCAGTTTCAATGTATTTTATTATATAATCTGAATAATGTTAAATTTTAAACTACAATATTATCAAGAATACAAATAAATCTTCATCCTGTTTTTACATATTGCCAATGTATAATAAGTTTTTATTATCTTATAAAAATTTTTGTAATATTAAAAATTGCTCTTATATAGTCAATAATCATTTCAAATTTAATGAAGCACATTTACAAAATAATTAAAATATTGTGTCGTATTTACATTTATCACCATTTTAATAAATTGACAGTTTTAACCAAACACTTACAATAACTAGCCACATTATAAGTTGTAAAATATAGCAATATATATTTTTTAAACTATTATGAATCTTATTTATACTGTTAATAAATTAATTCCAACAGATATTAAATAATCTGAAATTTAATAATGTGATAATAAATTTAATAATTACTTTTAACTATATATTTCCATTAAATCTTATATTATGTGGAACTATGATGTGTAGGTGAATGTGTACATGAATCCGTCTGAATGATACTACATTCTGTCAAGTATTTAAAAATTTCATATTTATAAAATTTATATAAAATTATATAATGGTTTGTTATACTTATAAATTGTGGGATAAAAACCTAAAATAAATAGCTTAGCGCAGAAAATAAAATACTTTTTTTATTTTGGCGATATCGGATAATTAATTATCGATTAAGTTTTCTTATCATTTACTACGTATTATGTAAAATCTAATTTGATAACATAAATAACCAATTTTAGTTGAATAATGAAACATAACGTTGGATAAAATCAATTTATTATTTAAAATACCTTTTATAATTGCGTTAAGTAATGATTTTCATTTATTTAAAAAATTGCTTGTTTTATTTTTGAAATGAGTGAAACTTTAAAAAACCGATCTTCTAAATCTTTATTAAAAAAAAACCATAATGATATTAATAATAAAATTCACAATTAAAATGACACCGAATTTATGCGCAAACATTAAAAAACAAATAAATTGATAGTTTAATTAAATCGATGAATATTATCAAACACTTATAGAATCTTTTGAAAATGGTTTTATTCATTTTTTTTTCAATAAAATCTAAAAATGTATACAAAATCTATATATATATTTTTTAATGCATCTGCATAAGATAATTATTTAATATAACCATAATTATAAAAGGTATGGAATTTGTTAATTAACCATGTTAAACTAACATCTCAATATACTTTTGTTTTAAATTTGAATTTTTTACTACATTATTAAAATTGTTTTTCACAATACATATTGAATCAATAAAAATTTCTTTTTATTTATATAATCAAATATGATTAGCACTAATGTGAAATTTTTCAAATATTCACAATTAACTTTCTTTTTATTTATTCAACAAAAAAAAAAAATATATTGAAATCTTTACTATAATATATGATTTTATAAAGAAAGAATTTTTCATAAAGAGAAAGAAATAATATACAAATAGTAAATATCATGACATTACAAATCAACAAGTAATAAAGAAGATTGAATTATATTATTTTCATTAACTACAATAACTCCAAATTTACGTAGACATATGGAACAGAAGCATATCAAATTTGAAGTGAAATAAAAACAAACTCCTTTTAAATGCTCATATGGTTTAATCTAAAACAGGTGTTCAATGCAGTATTATCTAGAAAAATTTCTTATAACATTGAGTTAAAATTAGTTATTTATACAGATTCAGGATATTGATAATAATTACAAACTTATAATATTATAAAATTTCAGATAATGGCCATATTTTTAAGCAAAGCAGTATAATGTATAATACCAATCAGTGTCAAAAAGAAAACATGTTCGCAATTTTCCTACATCACAACTCTAAAAATATTTTAATACATTGTAGCCATTATAAGAATTTCACTATATAATTAATATTCAATTGAAACATAATTAAAAAATATAAATTTTTTCATTTTTAGATATTATTAGATAAATTAAGGATTTCTTTGCTTCTATGTAGCTTTTATAAAAATTATATTTTTGAATAAAATATTAATTTTTGATGTAAGGATATATATATATATATATATATATATATATATATATATATATATTGAATACTATTTAGAAATAAATATTTTAAATATTACATATATATAGTACAGCAACTGCATCTTTTATAAGAATAATACTTATCAATTAAACTTTAATATTTCAATATTAACATAATATATTTCGTAAAGAATAATTAAAAATAAAATATAAATGATACTCACTTTACTATAATTGATTTTCGCAACTTAATTTTGGCGCATGCTAAGAACAGATCCTCATGGGTTGGGTGAAAGATAACCAAATAAAGAATGCGGGATGATTCTAAATCTACTGATCGCAATACAAGCTCAGGATCGCGGTAAGAGCTTCGGAAAATCATACTACTACGTGAGGATATATTTAGTTTACCAAGGCGTGTATCAATATCACCGATAGACTTTCCGAAACCGGCATTGTCTGGATCAAACACAGTTTGCAAACTGTTGCATGATATTCGTTCTGAAATTTATTAATTCATTTATTATTTCAATGAATTTTGAAATACAGCCAAGTATAATGAAATTTTATTAATTTTATATTATATTAATTTTGTAAATGTTAGTTTGTTTCAATTTTTTATATTTCATTTAAATCAAAGACTCCAATCGCAAATCATTAAAAAAAAGTGAAAAAATAAATTCTGAGTTCATTATTAAATTATAAGTTCTATACTCCAAGATGATATAAAGATGAATAAAGCAATTTTAAATGTGTGATAATACAATACTCATAATTTTATATACAGTAATTTCTTTTCAATATCATTCATATATCATATATAAGATTAAATTTGCAAAGAAGATAAAAAAGAAGTTTAATATAATTCTTGAAAATGAAGCATACTATATAAAATTGTTTAAATAAATGGAATTAATATGAATTGTACTTACATTATAATTCATACAAACATTTAAAAAAAATATCTGTAATTTAATAAGGTAAAGTTATAGGATTAAAGTTTAATATTGAGAATTGTCAATTGCATATTAACAATAATGAAAAAAGAATGTATATAATTTCATTAATATACTCAAGGAAAAAGAAAATGTATACCTTTCCCACTATCAAATATATCTGTAGCATAAATTTTCCACCGATGTTCGGTCAGATAGGCATCTTGAGATTTTTTATCATTTAAGTATAGCAAATATGTATAAATGATCGTATCCATAGTATATTTAGCACTTTCAATGCCAATCCAACGTAACCAAACAGATCCTACAATGGAACCATGAAACCGCGCTTCCGCCACTTGCTCAATATTTTTATCCAATACCTATATTTTTTAAGATAATTTGATTGATCGTATATGACATATATATGATATAAAATTTAAAAAAATTTATATAATTTTTTCTTAATTTTTACTGGAAAAAATTAGGTTTTGAACTATAATTTAGTCTCCTTATATATAATCTAATATATAATCCTAATATATAATCATCCTAATATATAATCTACAAATTATTAATATTTTTCTTTTAATGAATTGCTTTTAAATAATTGAAATTAAACTAAAATAAATTAAATAAATAGATTTTAAAAATTAATTTATTAATTAAAAGTTGATTATTTAATGTTTACAAATCTATTCAATTTTTATTACAAATATTTTGTATGTATTGCATTATTATATATAAATCATATTTATTAATATACTAATACCTAGTTATTAATATACTATTTACTAATCATTATAAAATGATAATAACAATTATATTATTTCTAACTCCTAATATTTAAATCTTCCCTTAATTTTTACTAATGTAATCATTCAATAATTAAAGGTTATATAATTTATAGTATTAATAGCTTATTACTTTATATATTACAGAAATACAGTGTTGCATAAGCAAACAATAATCTTTCATCTGCAATTATGTTATTGATAGCTATTACAATTATTAGATATATGGTTAATAAGAACATATGTAAACAGTGAACATATGTATCACAAATAGTATTTTAAAAATACATATTATATAATTAAATAATCAATCTTATCGATCATAATAATAATAATAATAATAATAATATATAGGAAAGTATCATAAAGTATTTATAAACGTACTTTCTAAATAATATTAATTATAAAATCTGATATCTAGTACAATACATTGATTATGTAAAACTTTGATTATTACCGTAATTGAAGCACAAGTAATACGTTCACTATAGGTATCTTTTAATAAAAGCCCCTTTCCCCAAAGGTCTTTTTCACTTGCTAAATTTAGTTTGGTCATTTCAATTGATGTAGTCTCATTACCAGGAAATTCTAACGGACCAACTAATTTTGTTAAATCAATGATGCTTTAAGAAAAAAATTATTATTAGAAATTATAGAACTTATACAAAATATATAAATAACTTAAAGAATTCCACTAACTTTTAATTATATTTAATTATCAAAAAATACAAAAAAATATTATTATCAACAAAAAAATTACCTCTTTCCAAGATATTTGTTATCACAACGATTTTCTAATGTGGTGTAATCCACTGGAAACTCTTTAATAAACCATAACCAGTGTTGATCTGGGTATTGAAGGGTTGGTTTAAGTGCTAAGCATATTCGAATTCCATTATTGGTAGGTTCAAACCTAATTTCTCCATGTAGTCCACCAGATGAAATATATGCCACCAACTGTATTGAGTTTCCAATTGTCACTACATGAGTGAAACACATTTTAATAAGTAAAAAGTTATATATATATTATATGTATGAATTCAGTTTCTGACAATCTAATATATAAATAAACTATTTAAATTATTTTTGGAATTATCCAATTCATTAAAAATTTCTGAACAAAAAATTTATAATGTATATTTCTTCCTTTAAATAGCACTTTCATCATAAATAAACGTTAAATTAGTTTGACAAAAAAAGTTAATAATATTTATTTATGACTACTATCTAAATTACATGTTAACTATGTTATAAATAACAAACATACATTAACCTTGATACAATTATACGCATTTTATTTCAAAAGCAGAAATAAGCGAGGGTAATTGTAAACATAAAACCTAGTTTTAAAGTACTCAAAGTTTACTTGAAACATACCGTACGATAATCCAAACAAGAACCACCAAATACTTAATACCATTCTCAACGCAAATCAATGAATACTATTGTTTAATATGTCCTTAACTATAAACTTGAATTTTCTTTTTGAGAAAGTTATTTTTATTGTTTGTGTTTTGTACACGGGATGATTTATTAATTATCTTCTACACACAAAAATATGATATTTCATAATTGCTCTATAAAGGAACACACTACACCAATGGCGGAACAATACCTTCATCTTTAGCATAATAAAAATTGTGTTTGTAAAAAGTTCCATCACAACATTACAATGGATATATTTTTATTCTAAAATTTATTTAGAGAAAAATTCAGAATTTATTTTATTTTTAAAAATTATTATTTATAAGTTATCAAAGATACTATATAACTTTGATACTTCATAAATCTATGTACATTAAATTATAGTTGCATTAAAATATCGATACATTATACATAAATTCAATTAAAATTATAATTATATTTTTGTCAAATTTGACAGATTTGTTTTTATGGCCCCGATATTGTATTATACAAGAGTTTCAAAGTTACAGTATACAAAATGCACCATAAAATTTTTTTAACTCTAAAATCATATTAAACAGATATGTTTATATATAATTTTTTTATAAAATAGTAAATATTACAAATAAATTATATGTAATTTCAGTTATTTTTACTTTATTATTAAAAATGATTAAGCTTTTAGAAATACTGTTTAAATATAAAGTATATTTTAATATTATTTTATATATCAAAAATATATAAAAATAAAAATATAACAAATAATATATTATCAATAAAATGAAATCTTACATATTTAAAAAAAAAATTATTCATGCTAATGATTTGGTATTTTTAGATTGAATAAACAATTATTCAAAAAACTAATTCAAAAAAATAATATACTCAATAAATAAATAGAATCATTAAAGCTATGTATTGAATAGTATAGAGTATATACAATGTTTACAGTATTTTCTGAGTTGAAAGAATACAATATAATTAAAAAATATTTAAATATTATTTATAAAGCAATTAATTAAATTCATCATTAACCAAACAATATGTAATTTTAAATACGATTTTTTTGTATATCAATCTATTGCATGGTTTAAAAGTATCTAATATAATATATTTAATTTAAATATATTAAATTTAATATAAAAACAGCGTATAAATAATTATAATATTTATAATTTCTCGTATACCTATTTAGCTTTGTTATTACATAAATAAGAAATACATATCAATTAATGACTGAAAAAATCAAAGCGTTTTATTCATTTAACCTAACAGTTATATGTGTATCTCATTAAACCAAAAGAAAGTTCAAAGATGCCAAAAGTGTTGCTACTAATATAATATTCAAATAAAATATTAAATTAATTCTTGTAAATTATCATTTAATGAAAAAAATGAACAAATGTTTATTGAGAAAGTATCTAACTATAATTGGCTTTAAAAATATCTTAACCTGGAATTGAAAATAAAGTATAATAATTACTGCAGAAATGAAAGTAATGTAAAAGCGTAGATTTGAAATAACATTTATTTAATTTTCCAAATTTAATTATAAATTAAATATAATTAATGCATTTCTTTTAGATTTCCATGCAACTTACATGAAAAGAAGTTTATTACATATTTATCTATAAATTCCAAATCAAATTATTCTTGTAAACAGTATGATCATATATTTATATATAATTCTTATTTTATCTTTTTTTTTCTTATTTCAATTAAATTTTTACAATTAAAATTTTGAAATATTCATTTCACTTATTTTATTTTATGTATACATTTAAATAAATAAGTGAAAAATATTTATTTCTATTTAATTTAGTCGTTTAAAATATTAAAACAAAATTAATGAAATTAGAAATTAATTTGAAAATTCCTTTTATATAATATTTAATTAAAACTTCATCACTATTATTTATTTATAATTATGAAATATAAAGTAGGTATCAATATTTCATGTTCAATTTATGTACATGTGTAAACTTTAAAGTTTTCTTAAAGAAATTGTAAAAAATTAACAATTTACTGCCAATGCAGAAAAGTATATTTACATATATATTGTATTATCAGATGAAATAATGTTTATTTTAATACATGAACAAAATTTGAAGAAGTAATTTATGATTTTTATTTTACATCTTTTGTTAATTATTTGTGTTGAAAAGCAATCTAATAAATCTTAAATAAAATAAATTTTAAATAAAAATAAACATTATAATAATAATTTTAATAATATGTGTACTAATAGAATAATTTCAATATTAATCATATAACATAATAACAAAATTTAATGTAAAGCTCTTTGAAATTATAGTTAGTATGTGAAAATATATATGAAAATAATTTAAATATAATTTTATATGCATATTCGGTACATTTAAAAAATATATATCAATTATATTGATACACTCATTCATTTTTCATTATTATTTTTCCAGAAATCTTGAAAAATTTAGAAGATCAAAATCAAATCATAATGAAAAAGAAAATGGAAAATCATCTTGCAATATTAAATTATATATTTTTATTCTTCTATGTTATATTTTAAGTACATGGATTATTTACCTTGTAGCAAAATTTATTTTTCAATTTAAGTGGCCTAGAAAGTTGCAAAGCTGCCAATGCTCACTACAAATTAGATACAGTGAATAACTATTACTGTCTTAAAATATCATTTTTATACAACTGAATAACACTATTTCCTTATTTATATTATTCTGATATTTTATAAAACTAATATCATATACATATAAATAATTTAATTACAATTATGAGCTATATATTATTATATAAAATTTTTATGAATAATAAAGTATATTATATTTGATACTTGATTTATATTTACTTTCAGTATAGATGTACCAGTTACCAAATAAAGTTACCAAATATCTTTTTCTTATCCTATTATTTTTTTAATAATTTCGGCTTCCTATACGTTTTTAATTTATATATTTTTTAAATGCTATGTGCTTTTACAAACATAATGTACTGATTAATTGATTGCATCAAAGTAAGAAAAAATTCATTTTGTACCCTTATAAAATCAATTGTTAAATGTTTAGATTGAAATTAACTTATCTAGTAAAGTAAGTTGTAAGTCTATTCAATCTTATTTTTCAATAAAAGCATACAGTCAGTAATTAAAATTCATATTTTGTCATAACTTCAGATTAGATTTAGTCTGTGGTAATCAGACATGCTTAATATATTTTGTATAACATATTTTATTCTGTAACATTAAATTCAGATAAACTTACTTTGTAATATTAAATAGACATTACCATAAAATCTATTGATGCGCTTAACTTTATTTTCTATTTAATTGGTAATAAAAATTAATGTTATAAAAAATATTATTTAAACCTGAATTTACGTTTGTTGTGTTTTTAATTTATAATAACATTTACATTGTTAAAGTACCAATCAATCAGTTAAAAAAAGTCTAGGTAAAATTGATTTGCATTTGAATATTAATTATTCCATGAATGTAAGTATGACTAATAATTGTTTTATATGCAAATCACATATATTGCATACAAATTTGTATGCGAATAAGTGATTTATTAATTTACACACATAGGCACACGCGCTTATGCATATATATATATATATATATAAGTTAATTTTGTCGACACTATAAATACAACATAATTCGATCGATTTGGTAATCTACGTCTATAGAGCCACTTGTGATTTCTTTGTTAAGCTATTTTCCAAATTGTTAAATTAAATGAATCAAGTATGTCATCGACATATTCAACACATTAACTAATATAATTAAATTCCAGAAAAGTGTTGTTAAAAAAAAAATTATGTTTCTTCAAAGGTAATCCTAAAATCCTACATTTAGTGAGTTTAAAAAATTAGATAATTGGTCAAGGTACTCTTTAATTTTATGCAATAAGCATAAATTATTCGACTGTTACAAAAAAACTACGCCCATAAATATAAATTTAAACTGTTCGGATTAATACAGTATAAGGTTGCTAGTAGTTTCTTTTAAATTAATTTAAATTATACCTTAAGTGCTAATTTCACAAATGCATTTTACATTGGCAGTTTTCAAATGCAATCCATTTTATGTTAATAAACGTAAGGAATATCCAATGAATCAATTACAGTCTGTCAAAGTTCGTCGACATATCCCACAGATAAAACATTATATAAATAATCATTCAGATGAATAGGGTATAGATTGAAAAACATATTCCGAATTGAATATACGTAAAAAGATGAACTTAAAAACAAAAATTAAAGTTGAATTGTTACCACAGAACAATAATTTTAATTTTTTTTTATAGATACTTATAAGGTCGTAAATACGGTTTTTTCTCCGTTCGAAATCCTAAGCATATGCATTCGCATTTGTGATAACACACAATTCAGTGCATACAGTTATAATATGGATGGGAATGACAATCTATTATTTTTTCTTATTCGAGAGAGAGAGAGAGAGAGAGAGAGAGAGAGAAAGAGAAAAGTAGATTCTTGAAATAACATAAATAGAAAATAGTTGTAATTTTTTATATTATAATAGATTTATTCTTACTGTTTAATATTCATGATATTTTATTTAATTCAGTGTTAAATATATCAATTTTTTCTTGATTTCTTAATTAAATCTGTTCAACACCATATTTCTTTTACAATCGACGATATCATTTATTTATGTACTATTTCCGAGAACTATAATCATTAAATTTTTTATAATATAAAACCGTATAATAGGTGTTCTCTTGATAGAACTACATATTAATAAACTTAATTGTTTTTTTACTCTGTTAAAATTGTGGACAGTCATCGTACATTTTTGTTTCAATAAACAGCCAGTTTATCTATATTCTTATTTTACATGAATAGTTAAATTTCAATTTTTTTGATGTAGCTATATTCATTTTTCACCTAATGTGTTAATTAATTTCATTAATAACTAAGTTGCCTGAGAATCAAAAGTTCTTTATTTGCATTAAGTATGAAGTAATTGTTCAAAAAGTATATTATGTGAGAGTCAATAATATTCTGAGGAAATACATAAAATTTGTTTTACTAAATCGGTGTTTTTTATACTGGTCAGTTAATACGTTTTTGTTT